TATTGTGTAATATTAAGCGCAATTGCAAACTAATAGTGTTCTATTAAAAGGGCAGACCCCCTCATTTGTTCTCCCATGCTTCTTAGTTGAAAATTTTCATTAATTTATCTTTTTTCCTGAAATTTGGCATGGTAGCCAGAGGAGCTTAAATATAGTTTTTGACAGCTGTATGACTGTTTGAATAGACTGCCTAATTTAGAGAATTATCTGTGTGCTTGTCTGTTACTGATGGATATTGCCAAAATGATCAAAGAAAAATAGGACGTTGTCTTTAAATAAGGCTATTTCTATGTTTTGTAGGCAAAACAGGAGCAAATTGAGCTGAAATTTTTCTACACTTCTTTGTCTCATTGTGAATCCTAGATGTATTGTATACAATTTGTCTGCTGAAAGTAAAGGTTGCCTGATTTAAACTTATAGGCATGAATTTTCTTAAAAACTTACTGTAAAGATGTGGGTCTTGCACAGAATTATGAAATGCTCAGCAGGGTTTCTTTAAAAAAATAAATGTATATGGTTTAGAACACTGCCATTTTTTTGTTTTTCATTTCCAGCTATGCAAGAATGAGTAGAAACTGAAAAGAACACCTATGTCTTTGTTTCTTTTTTCCTGTAGGTTTTTCTTTTAAATTTCTGTTTAGGTGGCTTTAGTATGTCACATTCCTAGTAGCCCCTTATTGTTCTCCTTAAGAGAACAATTGTTATATTTTGTACTTGGTGGGGGTCTGGAATAGCATTGGTCCTCTTGTTAGTATAATTATCTCCTTTTTTGTCATGGCATTGGGGTGATTGCCCAGTTGGAATGAGACAGCCCACAGCATTCTCTCTTCTGCAAAGAGGGTCCATGGCAAGGTTTCCCTCCTTACTGTGATGCCAGGTGAGATCTGTCCGGGTTAGCTGAGGTTGTGCGTGGAAGTCATAGTGCGCTTTGGGAGAAGAGCTTTCTCTAGAAACAGTATCACTGCTGTGGAGTTATGCTTGCTTTCTTTGTATCTCTTCTGGAGAGGCAATACTCTGCCCATAAATAACTTACTTGGCCGCTACATACTTTTTTCTTTTCTGTTTTTTTGGATAGAACTTCTCAGGACTTGGCTTTTTTGCAGTCAGATGGTTTCTGTGGACCATTTTAATCAAAAGGATTTTAAAAAAATGGGAAAGAATAAGGTTTCAAAACAATACAAACAACTGATGGGATTCAGAAGGGGAAATGGGAATGGAGAAGAGGGACAAGGCCTAAGGGCTCTCAGAGTCGGACCATTGCACTAAGATAATCAGTATCATGTTTTATTTATTAAATGGAAACTGTTTCAAACTGTGCTGTCTTAAGACCGACTTAACTATTCTCAGACAGATGGGATTTAGCTTGTGCCACTTCGGCTCCTGTAGGGAGTATTCTGAAACTTTATGTGAAAAGTTGGCTAGTTCTGACAAATTGAGCTTAACATTGACAAGCTTCTCTGCTCTGCAGTCCTAGCTGTGACTCCCATACAATACAGTTTAAGGAAAATGTGCAATTTTTCTGTCTTACCTAGCAAAGTGGGAACAGTGTAGTCTGTTACAGTTCAGAGTTCTTTCACCAGTTCTACTGTTTATGTGCACAAGAAAGTGATTTGGGAGAGGTTTGTCTTACACACAGGCTCTAGGCAAGTAGACCACTAGTAGGCTTGAGACAGCATCTACAACCCTGAACTTGCCCCAGAGATTATGTTGATGTTTCCCTGAAGTCTTTTAATTCTCCAAATTACTTTTGCTTTCGGGGATGGGAAGTAGAGTACAGCACCCTGCTTTCATAGTTGCTGTTTTTTGCTCCCCAACACTGGCTGTCCTTGCCTGTGAAACTTCTTATCCCTGTTTCTCAGGTCTAGCTTCTTAAATTTAAAGTTTTGGGGATGACCTTTGAACTGACATGAGAAATCATCGATGGCATTTATCTGTAGTCCTAATGTGAAGATTATCAATAGCAGTATGAGTATTAACTCTGTGAATACGCTTTTCCTGCCCTGCCCCCTGCCTTGGTTTATTTTTATTCTGTACTTTCTTCTGAGATTTGGGACACAAAACCAATTAATTGTCTCCTACCACAGTACATGTGTTAGCAACACAGTAATTCTACTTTGGTTACGTTAGACTGCCAAAAACATACAAACACGGTTCACTTGGCTCTGCTCAGAGACCAGTAATATATTAATTTTGACAATCTCTGAAAATTTTTTACAAACATGCATCCAAGACACTTTTTTTTCCCTAGCTATAATTTTTTTTTCTGTGCATATGCTTCCTTTCCACCAAGTGCTTTGTCTCTTAATATGGATTTACCATTTAAGATGTATTTTCTGTAGTTTATGCACATTGGACTGAATGTATGATGTATATCCCACTGACTGTTGCACATTAACATTTTGGCTTTATGTAGGAGAACTTTTTCTTCCTGTAACTTGACGTAAGCAACAGAATATGAAAAAATCTGCACTATCACATGTTTTGGTGCCTTGACCATTAGGATGTCTGTGCTGTACCCCAGATAGCAACTTGAAACTAGTGCAAGAGGAGAGTATTCTTAAAAGTTACGTTTGTTTTCAGATGAATAACCTGAGTGTAAGTTAGGCTGTTTTGAAAGGAACTACTAATCTTAAGAATATTATTTTGTTACCATTTTAATACAACAGGTAGCAATGATGTTCATTACTGGGAAATTGAATAGATTGGTTTTGGTTTTTTTTAATTTTTTTAATGGGGTTGTATTTCTCTCAGGTCTTCTTGGGACTGTACTTAAGTTGTGTGAAAGAAAGATGGAAATTCTGTTGGGTTTGTCTGTTTATTGCTTTTTAATCCAATTATATGTGACTTCTGTATAGATCTACTTCTGATGAGCAGGGCGTATCTGGCAATTTAATTTCAGTTAAGAAAGCTTTTTTTTAAAGCTGGAGTCATTTGTTATTATCCAGGAAACTAGAATAAGAAGAGCTGTGGTTGGGGCAATATTAGAGTAAGTAAATGTAATTTGTGTTTCAGTTTTATGGGCTATATTATTTCAGTATCATCAGTTGAGCTTTCATTTATCTTTTGAGTGCATTGATGTTTTTGCCATGTCTTTTGGCTAAATCGTAACTGAAGCAATTTTGATGTTCTGTACTGTTACAAATTGAGGTTGTCTGTTATTTAATGGTACTTATTCTATGTCTAATTTATTTCCAGTTAACGGGTTGTTTTTCAGTATTTTTACTTTGCCTAGTTTAGTATATGATAGTGTTTTTTCTATACTTCATAATGCTTTTATGCTGCTCTTTAATCAGTATCATAGTGCACTTTGAATCACTGATTGTCTTGTCTGTGTTCAAACATGAATGGCCTAGGATTATTTTTTTAAGTATAATTTTATTTTTTTATCTTTTGTAACCGCTAGGGTTGTGGTGAATGAGGTACAGGTGGGTTTTACTTGCTGTCTTGTGCATGGAAGCAAGGTAACTGTGTTTGGTGCTTTGTTCTAGGTTTATCTCCCCATGGTGAGATAAATGTCCTCACCCTCTGTCTAGTCAGGTGCATCATGTAGTTATTTGTATCCTGCGTCTTTTTTCCTCATAGGATGTTTTCCATGATTTGGGTTGGAAATTCTGCTATCTGTTTGTCAATTATTTTTTCATCCTAAATCTAAAACCCCAGCATTTTTTCTTGCAAAATATTATTTTAAATCTTACTAAGTCTTGCATGAAAATGGGTTCAGGCTTTTATAGACTTACCACCTTTTTGTTCACTGTAAATGAATGCATAGTCTTGAGAATAAACAGGTTCTGTATTGATTTCTACCTCTCATCATCATCATGAAGTCTGGTAGAACTCAAATCTGACCTCTACAGAACTGCTGAAGATAGAGCAATAAGCTTCCAGTAACTTGGATAAAGCTGTGCTTATGACTGTTACTGGAGCTCTAGTGTGTGCCATGAAGGTAGCACTGGGCATTGCATTTGAGGCCAAAGATGACACCTGTGTTCATGTTGACCTGCCTTGATAATTAGAAGGGCTAGAATTGTTTCTGCTCAAACTGATTTTGCTTGCTTGAGAATGTTTTAGCCCTGGGCAACCGGATGTTTCAGCCTTTCAGTCCATGTGAATGATATTTTGAGCTATTCAGTGAAATATTGTAGGTTTTACAATGCAGCTCTTGAGAAGAAGCCAGTCTTTGATGTAGTGGTTTGGTTTCAGGATGCTGTCAAAATAGTCATTGCCAGCATAGCTGTAGCATACGGTCCTTGATTTTGAAAAATACGGAGCAGATTGGCATATTCTAGCAAGGCATTTGGATTATAACATAAAAATACAACTTCATTGCCAACAGTCCTGTAATGTAAAAATGAACCACTTGGCACTAGGAAGGTGATCAGTAAAGTGGAATCGGTGGGCAGCTTGTGGTCTTATAGAATACTTGAGAAAAGAGCAAAGTCTCTTTTCTCAAGTGTTTGGCTGTTTCAAAGCTTGTTGCCTGAATTTCTACAATTTTTTCATGCTTGAGTGGCTGACTGTGGGGGACTGAGTACTCCTGGGGGTACCTCTGTACTTGAGGTCAACTGCAGAAGTCTGTTGTAGGAGTTGGTGTCTTAGTGAAGACGACCCTGCCTGCAAGGAGGAAAAGGTTTGTCTGCTGTGAACATAGTTCTCCAGAAGTTAATTTACAAGGCTACTTGGAATCTGGATTTGTTCCTCTTCACCCTTTTAAATCCATCAGATGCCTTTTTGTATCGAGGCATTAGAAGTGCAAATGTGAAGGGTCCACTGATTTGCAATTAAAATTACTGTTTTCTGGTGCCTATCACTTAAATATGTTTTCCTTTTTTTTCTCTTGGATTGGGATGGTATTGCAAGTGTGTGATTGAAAGGAATTAGATATGAAAGATATTGAAAGGAATTAGATATGAAAGATATTAAAGGAATGTTGCTTTCCTATCTAATTTCTGTAAGCACTGGTGTCAGATTTGGTAATACAAACATGCTGTTGTCTCTTGTAGGATAATCATGGGTCAAACCGGAAAAAAATCTGAGAAGGGACCAATTTGTTGGAGAAAACGTGTAAAATCAGAATATATGAGACTGAGGCAGCTCAAGAGGTTCCGACGTGCTGATGAAGTAAAGGTACTTTATCTTTTGCTTCTATTGCTTATTAAATTTTACAAGTATTGATTATTTTCTGTAGTATGTGTCCTACAGTTAACACTTGCTATAACAATTTCATTGAATACTTTGTCAACCTACTGAGAACTTGTCTTCACTCTGTGGTCTTATAAACATGTATGATACATTTATATGTGATTGGGTCAAGAATGTTAAGTATCAGAAGAGGTTGTGGAGAGCTAATATGGCAACTTTAGCTGCACATTCTTTCAAATTCAATTTAGAATTTAGTTCCATGCTAAATGTGTGACTAAATGTGAGAACATGGTATGAATTGAAGAAAGAGACAATGAACTATATTGAACCTCGCTGACGTTTAAACTAAATTTGTATGTTTTGAGCACTTTTCTTTGTTATAACATGTCTGGTTAAATGTTAGAATGCCTTAAGATGCTAGCAGATGAATTTAGAGTCTTTCATTTATTTATAATGTTGTGGTTAATTTTTAGAGTATGTTTAATTCTAATCGTCAGAAGATACTGGAAAGAACTGAAATCTTAAATCAAGAATGGAAACAACGTAGGATACAGCCTGTCCACATCATGACTTCTGTGAGCTCATTGCGCGGGACCAGGGAGGTTGGTTAACATGTGTTGTGGTAATTCCACTTACAAGGTTGTTAGCACGTTTTCATTTTATTGCTGTAAAGTTGGCTGTTCTTTGTATTTTTTTTTCAGCATGATATGACTTGGCAGCCCAATGTGTTTTGTATGAGTGTCTTAAAGGATTTATTTATTGTGTACTTTGATCATATGACTTCTGCAAAGGAATAAATATGTAGCAGGCTACCTGGCTTTGAATGACACAAAAAAGTGAAACTTCTTTATTTCTGATAATGACTGGACCATACCTCAGCATCCTTTAATAAAACTGGTCTGTCTCTGTGGTACTGGGAGTTTACTCCTGCTCCTGTTGGAGTTACATTAATGAATTCTTGTGTTGCACAAGCAGACTGGATGCTAAATTTAGGAAAAACATTTCTATAGTTGTGGCATAATTTGAGCTAAATGCCTAAACCTAAAATGGTTTCTACAGAATTGGTAAGGTTGAAAGGGACCACTGGATGTCATCTAGTGCAGCTTTCCTGGTCAAGCAGGGTCGTCCTAGAGCTTGTGTTCTGTGTTGTGGTAGCTTCAACAGTGATTTAAGCCCATTCCAGCTCTCTATATTCATCCCAGCTTAATTTACCTTATTTTTAAGTTGCTCTTTAGGCACTTCTTCACACTTAAGAAGTTTAAAGATGTTTGTAATAATCTGAAAAGCGAACTCTTTTCAGTAGGGTGAGAATGAAAAGACTTTACTGTGAATAGGTTAAAAAAAGCAAACCAAAGAACTTCATCTGCAAATAAATTTGCAGAGTTTCTTTTCCTTAAAATTTCAGTGGAGAACTGGGGAGTGGGAGTGTGTCACACAGGTGCATTTGTGTGCATGCATGTTCAAATGCAAGGAGGAGAGGACCTTCATGTGTTATCTTTTAAATGTGCTTGAATGTGCAATTACTCATGTACAGCTCTATAGCTATTGTGTGGGATCAGAACTGATAATAATTGACACAGGTACACATCCAGTTTTCACTTTTTTTTGTTAGTAGAAGATTGTTCCTCTTTCTTTTTTCTTTTCTTTCAAGCGTGGTGTTCACTATTCTTTATGTTAATTTCCTGCCTGTATTGATAGAGCACACTAATTACTACATTCAATCCAGTCTCTGTCTCATGAATCAGAACTCTAATGCTTCATTTAAGGTTGCCATAATTTATAGTGAGAGAAATGAGATGAAAAAATGCTGGGGACTTTAAAATATTACTTTAAAATCTTCTTTTCTTAATATACTGAATTTCTTCAGAGTTGCATAAGACACTGGCTAGAAATAGAAAGGTTGTGTGAGAGCCTCCCTGTGTTTGGTGAAGAGTGCAGGGCATTGCTGGTCACAGTCAGCATCAAGTGGAGACCATTGCATGCCCCCCAGACATCAACCTGAGTTCCATACCAGGACAACAGAGCAGTGTAACTGAGGCTTAGTACCAAACTGAGGCACTTTGACGTAGCCCATTTGTCAGCCTGAGACTTCTAGTTCCAAAGATAAAAGTAATTAATTCTTTTACTTTTGTATTTTGCTTTAAAAATACATGAAAAATATGCTAGGTGGCTGCTAGCTAGAAAATTTAACATTAACCTGAAATGGGAATGAAGCAGTAGCATAGGATGGTGTCTAGAATATTAATATACACAGCAAAAATCTAATTTCATTTGCTGCAGATTAAAAAGAAAAGAAATAAATCTGGCTTGTGTCATTCTGCCGGGGTACTGTTTCTGTATATTGTTTGTTACATTACTTTGTGTATTTCTTTAGAAATGTGAAGCTCTGTTCATCTTTCCCTTCTGGAAAGGAGAAAGATCTTTTGTCTCCACTTCCTTTTTTCCTTTCAGGTAGCTATGATAGCTGTTCTAAACTTTGTTTTACCTACCTCCAAATCTTCTCTGTTGTACTTCCCCAAGCTTTTTCTGTTCCTGTCTGCTTTTACTTGTAACTTTTTTCCCAGAGTTCTTCATACTGCAGTCCAAGTATTTGAGAAAAGTTGATCTATGTTTGTTAACCATTGATTATTAAATGCAAGAATAACCTAATTGTTGTCTGTATTTCTATGGAGTGTTTATCCTTTGAAGGCTACATAAGTCTCTGACTATCCAAAACAGAAGTCCTGTAGCTGAAAAATTCATTGATGTATCCATACTAAGAATTAATTTTCATTTTTCCTTTGCAAGCAGTGAGCATAATGAAAGACTTGAGGATAGGATAAACAGACAATAATTGGGAAACAAGGCAGGAATTAAAAAGACATATGGAGTTTTTATTTCTATAAGGTGTCTAGCTAGCATTAAAGTAAAATTTTATTTATTTTTATAACATAAATAATACATGATTTCTGCAGTGTATTGATCTGAAGCCAGGGGAATTCACTTGCCCCTCAGATGGCCTGAGTGAATACACTAACATCAGTGTAGCAGCAGCAACAGGTACTAAATCAGTTTTGAGATACCAAACCTAATTTGTATTGTAGGTTGAATAGTCTGAGTAAAATACTATCACAACCACTTAATAATAAGTGGAAGAATGCCATCATGATCTATGAATGAATATATTGACATAGAAATAATTCTTGAGGTTCTTTTCTCTTGCTAAAGCTATTTTTTCCTATTATGCCTTGAAAAATGGATGTATTTTTCAAAGGTTGATATGGCTAATTTTGAGAAACTCTTTGAATTTTGTACATTGTAGAGTGTTCTCTGATTTATTTTTATTTGGTTTTTTCCTGATGTTGCTATGTAAGTGTAACTTCAACTTCTTATTTCAGTGCTCTGTTACCAGTGATATTGATTTTCCAAAACAAGTCATCCCACTGAAGACTCTCAATGCTGTTGCTTCTGTGCCTATAATGTACTCTTGGTCTCCCCTTCAACAGAATTTTATGGTAAGTTTAAACAAGTGTAGGGAGAAGAAAGGTTTGGAGGAAAGGGAGGTGTTAATTTTAGAAGTATGCCAGCAAAATCTATTGCCAATTACCCTCCCTACTTTAGGTGTTGGTAATAGGGCAGTAATCATCAGAAATAAGCTCCTCCAAATAAAATAAATAGAAAGGTAACTTTGCAAACTGAATATCTGTCCTCAATGTACCTAAGTATCTCCAAAATCTTGCTTTAAAGTTTATTATCTTTGCTGTAAAGTTTATTTAATTCAGGTGACCTATTGTCTTTTGTGGCCGTTAACAAATGTAGTTTTATTTGAAAGTATCAAATTAGTGTAGTGAGAAATGTTTTCTGAGGGATATGAATGCTTTACTATAAGACAATCAACCAGCATATTTGTAACAGAATAGTAATTCTTGTGGAATAAAGGGCACTAAATCCTGAAATAGTTCCCCCACATCTTGGTCATTCTCATATCTGAGTGTGCTTTTTTTTTTTTCAGATTAATTTCACTGTGTGCAGAAGCCATAGCATTATATTTCTGATATAGATATTTGACTTTCTGAAAATCTTAGCTTATTGCAAATCTTTATCACATCATTTTGTATATGACCACCTTTGCTGACTAGTTATTTTGGTAATAATTACTATGAAGTGGTTTAAACAACAGTTTTTTTATCTGTATACATACACAGTTTTTTCACACCTTTTTCTCCTTGCTTTCAATTCAAGAGTGTTTGGATATTCTGGGTGGGTACAGAATCATGATCAGGAGGAAAGTTTAATTTTTTAACAAGAGAAGGTTCTTTTGTAGTATTGAAAGATGCAGCTGAGTATCAAGGTCCGTAAATTCTATTTATAAAACATGGGAGTATTAATGCATTTAGTCTATATACAGTTAAAAAAAAAGGACAGTGGAGTTCAGATTAAATTTTCAGGCATGTTTCTCTGTTTGCTCTTTAGGCAACTTTAATTTAGAGTCTTTTTGTAGCATATTTTCTTATCTCTGGCCAAACAATGAAAGGGTGGTTCCCATTGTGCTTTCCTACAATACTGTAAGAGAGAACTGAGGGAGGACAAATGAATTTTCCAAATGCAAGCTTCCCAAAGCCAGATAACTTAATGAGTTTCCATATTAGAAACTTCTTGGAAATGCTCTGCTAACCTTAAGATTAGGAGCTGGTGTTAATATTTTGAGCCAGCCACCGAGAATGCAAAAAATTGTTGAGGGTTTTGTTTTGTTTTTCTAGTTAATGGTAAATGTGCTAAAGCAGTGAAGCTAGTTAATTTACTGTTGTAGGCAGATTCCTCTAGATAGTGAAAAACAATGCAGAAATGGTCACTTGGCAACACAATTTAAAGTGATTTGATTATCACTGTTGTTCCTAGGTAGAGGATGAAACTGTTTTACATAACATTCCGTATATGGGAGATGAAGTGCTTGACCAGGATGGTACTTTTATTGAAGAACTGATCAAGAATTATGATGGGAAAGTGCATGGAGACAGAGGTGAGCCCAAACACTCAGGTATACTAATCATTTTTTCCTATATAAATTATTGTTGTAGTGTTGCTTAAGGCCTGATGTGTGATTGTTGCAGAAGTTGTAGAGATACTACTGTTTTGTGTGAACATTGGGTATAACAGGCTTCCTTATTTAAAGGTGTTGTTCTGCATTTTCATTAGGCTGAAAAGTTTTAAGCAGTAGTGTGGAGAAATTAAGCACATTAACTTTTTCCTTATGCCATACAGTGATTGTATTCAATTTTGTGCTCAGAGCATTGGAATATGATATTGTGATGTGTGTATGTATCCTGCTTAGCAGAAAGTGGCAGGATGATTATGCAAAACTCTGATAATGACAACATTTGCAAATGTGATTCAACAGAATAACCTCTTGTAGGTTCGTGGGGTTTTATTTCCTTCTTTTCTTTAAGGAACTTGCCAGCTATTTAAAAACCCCCTCTCTGTAAATCAGCTTATAGAGCAAAGTTGTATCCTTCTATTGGTACAGAAGCATTACATGTATTTATTCTGAGGTGTAGTTTATCTGTTCTCCTGTGTGGGAGCTGGGCTACCTGCAGTGTAATATCTGTCCCTTACTTTGCTAAAGTCTCAGTGAAGTGGTGACTTTACACTTGCTCTGGGCTCCCTCAGAACTGGCTTACACAAGCCTCAACTTCCCTTGCAGAGCCTTCTATTGACTACTGTGATTCCCCCTTCTCAGAGATATTACCCACACACTCCACCCTTCTCTGAAACAGAGAATAGCTTCTTAAAATGAGTCATATTCCTGTTAATGCTGATGCATTTGAGAAAGAGAACCACACTTTGAGTTCACCGTGTACCATTCATGAAGTTAAACCTGTGATTCAATAATAAATGCTACTCAGCCCTACGAGACTTGTTAATGTCCTCAGTATAGCTAGTGCCTTTGTATTTCATAAGAAACATGTAATGTTTCATGGGCTTTGGCCTTTGGATATTTTTAAACATTTCCTGATTGCTGATTTCCCTGTCAGAAAACTGGTTATGTCAAAATGATGATGTTACTACTAAATGTCTTCTATTATTGACTTAATTTATTATTAAAGGAGTTTAGCTTTAAAATTAATCCTGTTTGAGCATCCTGAGATGCAAGTTTATGGTGGCAATTACTGTTACTACGGGTTCTCCATAATATGTAAAATATATTAGAGGTAAAGAGACTAAAAGAAGTCTCCCAATAAAAACTATTGTGTGACTGTAATTAAATGTAAATACTGTGGGAATCTGTAATCCAGAGGCATTCCCATGTAAGAGTCAGAATTCTAAACTAGCTCTGTAATTGCACTTTTGGGAGACAATTTATACTAACCTGTGTCTGTATATAAAGAGTCTATTTAAAACATCCGAGTGGTATTTTCATTGTCTTCATAGTAATAAAAGTCTTTATTTTCTGTCAAGTTATTTTGACATGCAAACCCAGTCCAGGTTCAAAAGGATGGTAATAAGCACTACAGTTCCCACACAGTTCATCATGTTTGTTGGTTTTTTTTGTTGTTTTTTTTTTTTTTTCTTTTTTTTTTGTAAAAATAGTCTCTTGTCAGCACTAACTATGATTTTTCCTTGGTGCAGAAATGCCTTATTGTTTAATCTGTTTTGTAATCTGAATGTCAAAACAGAATATAATCTAATAAATAGATATATGCAGAATATAATCTAATAAATAGATTTATTATATATTTATATATAATAAATATAAATATATTTATATAAAATTCAGTTTTCTCTTGAATTTTTTGTATATAAATGTATTCATTTTTTATCACTCAGCCGGGGGGGGTCTATTGTGGGAAGTAGATGCTAAGGAACAGTCAACCAAAAATCTCTCTGGAGATTCCTTAGCTGGCTAAGGATTAGTTTATAGACTGTTAGCATGCATTTCCAGACTGGCTTGACCCTAACCATGTTGGAACTGGGATTCTGGCATAAAATCTCTTAAATAATATAGCTGGTAGTATTTTTTTATCTTACAAGGAAGAGAGCTTTATATATATATGTAGCACATGGAGTTGGGAAAAAAATTGTGGTAATTTTTCTTCTTTCATTCCCTGTTGTTAGTCTAAGAAATGAATAATGAGCTTTTTTTAACTGGTCTTGGTTTATACACTGCTATTTAAGAGGGGAAAACTATGCAATTGCTTTTCATAAATGACAGCCTTTGCCTTAGTTTAATTAAAATGTAGGGAGGATTAAAAAAACCTGATATACACCTTGTGTTTTTTTGTTTATTCCCACTTTTGCTGGATTTCAGAATGTGGATTTATCAATGATGAAATATTTGTTGAGTTGGTCAATGCCCTTGGTCAATATAGTGATGATGAAGATGATGATGATGGAGATGACAATCCTGATGAAAGAGATGACAAGCAAAAAGATCGGGAAGGTAACAGGATAGGTACGTCTATCTGCAGACTTTAGAAATGAAACCCAAAACATTTTGTTTAACCACTCAATAAGTTTGTTCAAACCCATCTTCCTATGTGATAGTTTTAAGGTCTAAAGTAGCATAATTTTCATAATTTCCTTTGTCATTTAGTTCAAGACTTCTATTGAGAACACCATGAAAGGCACTTTTGCCAGTTTTTGTTCATTGGCATACTGAGACAGTCAAATACACCCAAAATCAGTCAGGTATCTGTCTAATAAATGATTTGGTACTCCTCAGAAAATGATGTATCATTATTCTAAAGCAGGCAGAGTTCTGAATTTCCATCTCCATCTGCTGGTGAAATAATGGTTTCTCCAAATTTTACTAGTAGATTTTTCTCATCAGGAAAGATCACTTAACACAGTTAAAATTGTAAGTGATTTGTAAATAAAAATCTTTACTTCTTTTTTACATTAGAATTTTGGTGAACACCTCCTTTCTCTGAACACCTTCTTGAGGTAGCAAAGAAGCAGAAATATATTTTTTTTGTTTTCCAAATGTTTTTGCTTCCTTGACAGAGAAAGAAACTCACCCACCTCGGAGATTTCCTTCTGACAAGATATTTGAAGCCATTTCCTCAATGTTTCCAGACAAGGGTACAGCAGAAGAATTGAAAGAGAAGTAAGAATGTATTTCTTACAGTATATTGCTGTGTTGCTTTATGAAACAAAGATTCCTCTATAAAATAAATCCTTCAGTAAATATTGGTTGATTAGGAATGGTTCCCCTTGCAGCTAGTTCTGGGGCATTTGTGTAACTTCTGCAAGTGACACTGAAAGGGACTTGGCTCTTTCCCCCAGGTCAAACAATACAGAAGTGTTTATTAGCCTTCCCTTTAAAATATTGAAAAGTGGGTGCTTATATATCTCTAATAATCTGTTATTTTTTGAGGTTGCAAAATAAAAGCTACTGCTAAAAAAAAATCTTATCTCCATTTTGGATGATACTGTGATGATGATACTACTCCTTTTTAATGATACTATGTTCCTTTTTAATGATACTATGTACGGGGTTGTGATGGTCTTGAAAACAAATGCATTATTTCCTAGTCAATTTGTATTAATGAGTATGGAATTAATAATTTGTCATTTCACTAACAGATTGGCCTTTTTAGCTGACACATATTTCTTAGGGATTTTTTAAAGTTGTCATTCAAAACGCAGAGTAGTACTGGAATAAAAACCACTTTCATTTAAAAAAATTATATTCAATAAATGATTTCTATTATTTTGCTGTAAAGATACAAAGAACTCACTGAGCAGCAGCTTCCTGGAGCTCTTCCTCCTGAGTGCACGCCGAACATAGATGGACCAAATGCTAAATCTGTTCAGAGGGAGCAAAGCCTGCACTCCTTTCACACACTCTTCTGTAGGCGCTGTTTTAAATATGATTGCTTCTTACATCGTAAGTACCATTAAAGTGTGCTCCTAAATGTCTTACTTTTTTTTTTTTGTAAGTCAGGAGACTTAGAAGTACCATAGGATCCAATGCAGAAGGAAGGAAAAGAGAAGAAAAATAAAACCAGGAATATCCCTAAAGTTTATGAAAACAGCTCGTACATGTTGACATTATTTTGCAGTGGAAATTTACCTCAGAAAACTGAATGTGCCTGTGTGGGTAGTTTGTTATCCTTTCTGCATTTAGGACTTTGTATAGAATTCCTGACTTGGACCAAATCTGTAACATCACTTCTCTTTTTATATAGTCTGCAAGAAAACGACTTTGTTTTCTACTATTGTTTGTGTTACACTTTCTCAGTTTGTGCATGGAGAATGGGATGTATTTTTCTATAAAAAAATCCTGGTTATTTATCAGACTTGCTTCATTTTCCACTGGGGAGAATGAGCACTCATGAGCAGTTTTCTTTGTTGTTCTGCCATGTTACTTTCTAGCCACATTAGTTGTACTTGGTTATTTGAAGAATTGTTTCAGAGTTGAGTTTTAGAAATTGTGATGTCTATTCTCCATAACTGCTTTCATGTTGCCCCGTCTTTTTGGGCCAACAAGCTGACAAGAACTTAGCAGTGATGTTGGCTTTCACTTGCAAAGTGTGAAGAGATTCTGAAGTGCTACTTGAGACAATTATTCTGGACAGAGAGTTAAATGTAAAGGGAAAACTAACAGCCAAATATGAAGTGGTTTCAACTTGTAGCCGTATACTGTGATATACCAAATTAATTTTTGCTTTTGACTTAGCTGTTCATTTGCATGTTCCACTGTGAGTGCTCATGCATGTTCATTTGGGAATCCTTGTGCTTTGTCAGCAGCTCCCCATCCAGCACACATGCAATCTGCCTGTGTTTGTACTCCACACTGAAGGCTTTGCACAGTGCTGCTGCTTTTTCATATCCCTTGGTTGCCTTTCAGTTTGAGGAGGAATTGGAGTTGTTCTCAGATGGTGGGGAGGGGGGAAGCTTTTCATGTTCCTGGTTCTTTTAGTACTTGAGCATTTTGGAGTTAGGTCTGTTAGTTTCACTTTCTCCTTATATTCTGTTGACAGGCCTTGCTAGAAAATGCAAAATAAAAAATAAAAGGAAGCTGTTACTTCTGCATAATATTCAAGAACAGTAAGTTTCTGGAGTAAGCTGCTGCCTTGACCAGCCAGCTTCAACACAGTGTGTTCTGCAAAGCTGTAGGGCTTGTGGTGTCTTACTTGCCTGGACACTCATTCCAGGAAGTGCTGTGTGTAGTCTGTAGGACAGGTAAATGAAGCTGTATGCTGATTGTTGGCAATCCATTTGTCTGGCAGGGGTTTTAGGAGTTCTTGACACTCTCAATAGTATCTAGCAGAGATATTGAATGCCAATTTTGATTAAGTCAACCAAAAAGCATTGTCTGGACATAGTGAGGACAGGCTTACTCTAGCAGCACCTCTGAAGACTTGAAATGTTTCTGCTGCAGTGATTTTAGGCATTTTTCTCAATGATTTTATAAATTTTTAGTTGTCAGTCAAGATGGTTGCTCCTCAAAAACACACATATTTCACTACTCTATTTCGTTAGTCTATGTAGATTTGCCTTTCATGGTCCTTTTTGCAGACTGATAGAAGGACAACTGAAAAGTGACTACCTGTTGGGTACCTTCTACATTACCAGACCACAGTTTTCAGACACCAATTCTGAGAGACTTTTTTTATAAAAGTGCTGTGAAGAATGGGTTCACAGTCTTGGACTTTTTCTCATGTTCTTGGGTGAGAATGTCCAGAGCCATATCACTGCTTGAAGGACCTCAGCTCTCATACCAGCAGCATCCTTTAAGCCAGAAGCTCTGTGCCTTCTTTCTCTGTGTTCATAATCTTGAGATAGAAGACAAAGTGTTTATACTAAAAGATTGCCTAAGTTCTTGTTGCTGGTGACTTTTGATATGTCCCTTAAGCAAGCTGCAGTTCTTTCCAAAGCAGTGTATGTCCAAGGCTTTATTTAAACTGTCCCTCATGCTTAAAAGTGCCCAAACTTTAAATCATCCCTTCAGGATTTCAGGGCCATGACAGAAAGAGGGATGCATAGCACTTTCAGTGTGGTAGCATTTAGGACTTTGTGTCAGGTGGAGGGTGCAATGAGTGGCTATGACAGTGCTCTTTGTGACAGCCTCATTTGTGCAGCTCATTAGTTGTCACTGATGATAATTTAGCAGTTGTCACTGATGATGATGTGTTTGATACATAATCACTGCAAAGAGATCTCTGACCTTCGCTGTGTGGGCTCAACGCTGGACCCTGAATGTCATCAACTGATGCTTTAGTTGCCACTCCCTGAAAACATACCCAAATTCCACTGCAACAATGACTGCCTGCTGCTTTGGATGCATTGCTTCCTTTTCCTTTTGTTTGTAGTTCCACCAAGGAAAGAGGATTGTTTTCTGTCTGCGTGTCTGTCTGTCTGCGTGTCTGTCTAGAGCACGGAATTTTTTTGTTAAAAACGGAGAGAGTCAGTTGTTTGGCCTCTTTGTTTTCTGTGAAATCTTTAGACTGTTGGTCAAAATTCACCCAGCTCATAGCTTGGAATAAGTAACTCATCAAAAAAAAAATTAAAAAGAATGCTTTGGTTATTGGAAGGCTGCAGTAGCAATTTTCAGTGTCTCTGCAACAATTTAACTTTTATTACATTTCTACAGTTGCCTCTATGTTCTGTTTCATGCACTTGCCAAGTGCTGTGGGATGATGTCCTGGCTTCTGCAGATGACATTTTTGATTAATTACTTTGGTAATGTGGTGGGCTACAGTGATCACATTGGTACTTTGAAAGGTGTAAATCTCTGGAGAAGGAACAGAGAACTAAATAAAAACAACAGGAATTCTATTAGGTCTGTTTTTGCTTTTTATATTTCCCCCTCTTAGATTCCATTTTTGTTAAGATTAGTTAACAATTAGTTATTTTGTGGAGTTTCCAATCTTTGTTCTAGAGCATTTGAGTTAAATATAGGAAAAGTTATCATTAGATTTTTAACGTGTCAAGTCCCCTTGACGACCTGGCAATCCCTTTATGTGCAGGTGATGACATAACTGAAAAAACTTGTGTACTTGTGGACTTCATTTGCTGACAGCAAGGAATTATGCCTAAATGTCTGGACTAACAAAGAATTTAGAAGAAGGAAAAATATCAGGTAGGGAGAATTTCCCAAATAGCTTGACTATGAAGCAAATGTACATTTCAGGCTAAACTGTTGCCTGTGTACTTTCACATTATTGAAAATGAGAGTTGAGCCTATTGGGGATGAGGCAGATAATAAATCTCAAAGACAGAAAACATGCTCAGAGACACCATTTTAGAATGATTTCTCTTAAGGAAATCATTAAAGAAATACAGACTTTAGGTGTTAGGAAATTCTACAAAGTTTTCTGTGATTTTTCTTTTGAAAAAGATTACTACTGATATTTTAAAAAATCATAATGCAGCAATACAAATAGTTTTATTCTTGTTCTGAGTCCTTTCGTTATAACAACCCTCCCAAAAAAATACCTCACAATAGAGGTGGTAGATTTTGACTGTAGTTGTCTTTACTGTACCATGTTGGGTGTTTTTCAAATAGTTGAACAAAGATATGATTCTAATTTTAAGTATCATATGTAGTCTATTTTTGAGGTCTCATCAGTTTAAAAATAAAAAATAAAAATAAAGGTTGGTTTGTTTCATTCTATTACAATTTAAGCATTTCTTCATTTTCTGAAGGAAAACACTTTTTAAAAAAACTCTCATTTTAGGACCTTGCACAGATTAATTTGTGAGAGAAATGATTGCATCTGCAAGTGACATGTAAGAAGAATAGCTTTGATTTCTGTACATTGCAGCAGTCGGGTATAGATCATGGCTTGCAAATGTCTAAGTGTTCTTTTGCATTGCTGAAAAATTATTTTCCTTGTGGTATGAAGAGAAGGTAAAACAGTTAAGTGGAAAAAAATCTTGAATGAAATGGTATACTGTGCAAATTTAAAGATGCAGTGTTGAAAAACATGGGAGTTTTCCCCTTCACTTTTGGGTAAATGGCTCCCATCATCTCATTGTTTCTTAAAAGATGGAAAAAAAGTGAAATAACTTGGCATTAAATTGCATGGTTTCTTGTTACTGTAACAAAGTGTAACATATTTTACCTACCGAATACCTGAACACTTGAAGAATATGTGAAACATGAGAAGTGGCATAGCAATGAAAGCTTTTAACTAATCTGGGGGAAGAAAGAGCACTAATGGCAACAATATACATAAATTACATTCCTATACTTGCTTGTAAATAATTTTCCCATATCTATATGCCCATATATAGCAAATTAAAGCTTTTTTGTGTTTCCAGATTTATAAAATATAACATATTTGTCTGGAGAATGGGATACAATATTTACTTATTGTTACTTTTATTTTACTTGTACCATTTTAAGAAAGCCTTGAAAGAGTGCACTTCTTTCCTGTGGGGCTCCCACCTGCTGCTATCATTAATACAGGCACAATATTATAGAAATTATTATTTGATTTTTCAACTCACCCCCCTTTATGGGAGGGAAACATGAAGTGTTTGCAAAGTTCCAAGATGGAACTGGTCACCCTCCCAACTGCTGCCAAAGCAGATGTTTGCTGCTGCACACCAGACCACTGAAATGAAGTTTGCTTTTGATAGCCTTGTCTGGGAAGACATGAGCTCTGCCCACATGCTTTAACAGGGATGGAAGTGCATTTAAAATTTGAGTCTTTAAGGCTTAGTGGGCACAGAGAGAGAAGCCTTGAGCCTCATCTGGAAATAAAATGAATAGCAAATGGCTTAATGAAGGAGATGTGTGAAGTGGTGGTGTGGAACAGCCCTTTTAGATTAACATGGGGAGGAGGGGAGGGATTTCTTCTTTAATTTTGAACATATTTGCGCTTTTTATTCACTGAATTCTTATAACCTTTACTGTAAGTTACAGTTACCCAACTACAGCGGCTCTAAAACTGCAGCATAAGTGCTTCTGCATAGTTTGGAAATTGCACATTTTAAGTTGAGCATCTTTTCTGGGCCTTTGTGGAGCATTAGCAAACAGACAGCTAGCACTGTTCTTCTTTTTTAAATTTCAGTCCATTCTTCATTTCTGTTCCTTGCAGTTCTGTATGCCACTGTTTACACATTTAGAGGGAAAAAGTATTTATTGATGTCTATCTCTCTCTCTCCCTCTGTCTCTAAAAAACAAAGTATTTTTTTCCTTGAGCACAGACAAGTTGTTTTTTAAAAGACAATAATGATAGTATCTCAAAAAGCTCCTAAAATAATGTGGATGAATGTATGAGTTTTGGTGAGAGTCTAATGGCAGGTTTTCCAGGCTTCAGAAAAGCTCTGTAAGGGGTACAGAGTAGTTGCTGAGACTTCCAGAAAGCTGTGAGAAGTCAGTCTCCCTGAGAACACCCTGCTGGGAGACAGGGGTTGCCTGTGAGGAGAGCTGGCTCTGGCAAAGACAGTAGGTAGGAAACTCTGCCCTCCTGTTACCAAGGTGCTCATGTTGCATGTGTAACATACCCAGCTCTGCTCCTTTTTGAGTCACTGTTCTACAGCTTTTTCAGAGCTGTACAGAGTCCCTCAGGTACAGGAGCAGACACTTCTCTGCAAGGTGCAGACTTGGCTCACTTATCCAGTGACTGTGCAATGCTTACTTGTTTTTACCCTGCAGCTGGGATACAGGAACTGAATTCTTATATCCTGCCAGCTTAGCTGGAGTGCTGGTAAACTAATAGAGCAAAAATGCTTATGTGTCCTTCTCACTGATGAAAATGTAAAGTGAGTCCTATTACCTTTGCAAAGTGTGCATGAGGTCGGATTTTTTGACAAGATAGAAATTTAACAACTGAATTTTACACATTGAAGTGATGATCGTTAATAGGAGAAGCCCTGAATAATTCTGTTTAACATGACAACAAAGTAAAACCTGTTCTTTTGTTGGAAAGGGTGATACACCAAATCTTCCTTGATACATGAAGCAAATGTGATGACTGCCTTTGTTGATGTAAAAGGGCAGAATGGCTTTTAAGTGGAAGAGGATAGATTTACATTTGGTGTAAGGAAGACATTCTTCACCATGAGGGAAGTGAGACACTGGAACTGGTTGCCCAGAGAAGCTGTGGCTGCCTCATCCCTGACAATGTTCAAGGCTAGGCTAGATGGGGTTTAGTCAGCCTGGTCTAGTGGAAGGTGTCCCTGCCCATGGCAGAGAGGAGTTGATTTTTAAGGTCCCTTCCAACCCAAACCATTCCATGATATGTGAAACTTACCTATGTGCTGTCTTTGTGTATTTAAGTGGTAAGTCATATGTCACTACATGGGGTTTCTTTTATGATTTATTTATTTGTTTATTCCCTTTATTAGTATTTTATTCTGGTTTTAGTAAAGTCTTGGTAACCTTGTGTTTTGGGTAGAGTTTGAGGTTACATATTTAATGTATTTTATATGAAAACTAAAAAATGTGATGTTTTGATTCAACAGCATTCCATGCAACTCCCAATACTTATAAGCGAAAGAATACAGAAACAGCATTAGATAATAAGCCTTGTGGACCTCACTGTTATCAGCATCTGGTAAGATAATTTTATATGTCACAATTTTCTGAGTGTTAGTGCTGGCTGCAGTATAGGGGGATACTTAAACTAAGGGCATGCTGGATCTAGGATAGTGCATCTGCTTGTGGGCCATTTGCAGTCAAGTATGTTACCTTCAGCTGCTGCAAGAGAAAAAGTAACTTTCAATCATCTTAAGTAGGAATACTTGTAGATGTAGCCTGAGATATTTGTAGGGAAGAAATATTACTATCCCCTAATAATGGTGTTGCTGCTATTCTGTCCAATCTAGTCAAGGAACTGCAGACTTTGCTCTTGTAAATTACATCACAACTAACACTTACTTATAAAGTTTTTTTTTAGTTTGCCAAAGGCTGAGTCCATCTGGGACTTCTGCTCTTAAGAAGTAATAGGATAGAAATTAATAAAGTGAAATCTTTAGTAATATAATTTCAAATCTCTCTCATAATGCCCCTAAATGTTTTACTATGAGAAACTATGCAATTTTCCCGTCTGAAAACTTGCTACACTATATCATTCCCCCTTTCACTAGAAAACAAGTTACCAGTGCTTGTATTTTAAAAAATGTAGAACACATATTGTCTAAGTGCTATGTGCAAGAAGAGTTCTCGTATTTTTATGGGTGTTTTCTGTGGTGAAATTCTTATTTATTTCTGTCATCTGTGAAAATAGCAATTTACTGCTGAATTATTTTTCTCTTGGCAGCCAAATTAAAAGGGGAACCGAAATACTGACATGAGTACTTTGTAAGTGTAGATGTTTTTCATGGTAGCATCAAAAGTACTTGTGTTCATGCTTGGTGTGCCTTTAACTGGAACTTTGGTGCACGTGATTATTTTGTAGAGCAGTGGGAAGTTCCTCAGGATGCAAGCAGAAGGTGCTGACCCACAAGTGGAACCACTTCTGGATTTCTGTGCTGTAAACTGTGCTGTTTTGTGTCCAGGAGGGTGCGAAGGAGTTTGCGGCTGCCCTGACGGCGGAGCGCATCAAGACGCCGCCAAAGCGCCCCGGCGGGCGGCGGCGGGGCCGGCTGCCCAACAACACCAGCAGGCCCAGCACGCCCACCATCAACGTCCTGGAGTCCAAGGACACGGACAGCGACCGCGAGGCCGGCACCGAAACCGGCGGGGAGAACAACGACAAGGAGGAGGAAGAAAAGAAAGATGAAACATCCAGTTCCTCTGGTAAGGATGGTCAGTGCTGCTTCCTTCAATGAGCTGCGGTGCTTGGAGGGTGAACAGAACCAAAACTACAAAAAAAACCAATGCTACAAAAATAACAAAGCCAAAACAAGTCAAGCCGTGCAATCCTAGAAAATGTGTGTTTGGAATGTATGGAACTGAGTGAAAAGACAGAATAATAATAATATGAGTGTCTTGGCTTGGAAAGACAGGTGCCTGCTAAGGAAGGCAGGAACCTCCCCTGAAATGGAGAAAATGAACCCCCCCTCCTCCAAATTGCTATAAATTTTAAATTAAGAGGCTCTCAGGCAACAAAAATTATGGGAGCAGGAAATAACACTTCTTTAATAGGGAAGAAAATAAAAGAATAAAATAAACAATGCAGTAAAACCAAAACAACACTGATAGAGTTAGAAACACTACCTGACACCCTGTTGGTCAGGGTGTTGGTAGCAGTCCCATTGGAATTGTGGCTGCAGTCCTCCTGGAGTGTCAGGTGTGGTTCTGTTGGAGCAGGGATCCTGTAGAAAGGGTGTAGTTTTCCTCTGAAGATCCAGTGGAAGAGGCTGCTGTTCCTCTGGGAAATCCAGTGGAGAAGCTGTGCTGGTGTTCCAGAATCTCAAGACTATATCCAGGTAGGAATGCTTGGCTCCTCCCTCTGGGCGAAGCATCTCCCAATGGGATGCTATAGTTCTTATCAGCCATGCAGTGACATTCAATAGCCTGTTATCAGCAGATGTCCCCTCCTGAAGGAGGGATGATTATGATCACTGAGAGAGAGATAAGGCAAACTGTCCACTTGACAAAAGACAACTGCCATACAGATGGTAATAGAATACATCTTGCCTTGCAATCTGGAACAATGAGTTTAGTCAAACTGTAAGAGAATGTCTGCATTGTCTCAATTTACATATAGGCCATTAATTTGAGTAGCTGCTGTTAGCTTCTGTAAGAGGCATGTGAAAATGTTTGTTTTTTCTGGCACTTGGGAAACAACAAAAAACCTGGGATTTTTTAACTGCAGTTAATCATAATGTGAAGGACAAAGTAAATTTTGATACATAGCCTTGCTCTCAATTATTTGTTACAGAAGCAAATTCTAGGTGTCAAACACCAATAAAGATGAAGCCAAATATTGAGCCTCCAGAGAACGTGGAATGGAGTGGTGCAGAAGCTTCAATGTTTAGAGTTCTTATTGGCACCTACTATGACAACTTCTGTGCAATTGCCAGACTGATTGGGACCAAAACGTGCAGACAGGTAAGCAGGGAAGATACTTGCTAAGGGTCAAAGTGATTTACTTTTAAAGCTAAAGTATACAAATACTAGTATTGATTACTAAAAGGGAAAATAATTAATTTTCTTGGTTTTCCCAAGAATGCTATGGTCCAGAATTCATACCACAAATACATAGAAGTTAGTTTTAAAACTGTTTTAAAATTAAATTTACAGGAGGTTTAAATTAGAGTATCAATTCTTAAATGACAAAAATAATCAACTTTAAATGTATTGAAAAGAGACTATGACTGGATATAATCTGTAAGTTGTTGGTTGGAGGAAATCATACTAACTTAGAATATGAGCAACTTTGTACTAGTGAGAGATTTATCGTGGATGTGTTATGGTATCTCTTGTTAGGTGTATGAGTTTAGAGTAAAGGAATCTAGTATTATTGCACCAGTCCCTGCTGAAGATGTTGATACTCCTCCCAGAAAGAAGAAAAGGAAACACAGGTAAATCTGTTACTAAATACCCTTAGCATAACAATAAATTGGAGATACAGGGGATCAGAACAGAAAGTATGTTGAAAGAAAAGTTGTGTAACTCTTCTTTTGCTTCCAAAACCAAAAGTTGCAGCAATAAAACAAAATGATGTTTTAGTTTTAGACAAAATTTTACTGCACTGGCAACTATAACCTTCCTCTTCTCTTTCCCTTTCCTTTCTTTTTAAGTTCTTTAACAGCCAGGTTCTTGTAGGTGTATTGATGCAACTTGTCAAAACTCCGTTTAGATTAGAAATCACCTATGCAGCTTGTTGCAACATTTAAGATAGTGTAGAATAATTATTTTTTACAACAATAAACATTAAATTCAGGAGTGTTTCAATAGGATTGAGTAATGATTATATGATATTTTAAAATTAAAACTGATGTTTTTTTTAATGATGAAATGTGTTCTAGCAAGCTTCAGATAGCAAGCTAGTAGGATTGCCTTCTTTTTCTCTAGGAGAGACTATTCCTTTGTGGCACCCCAGTTTCATTAGCACCTAGAACACCAACTAAAGAACTAGGTTAACAGGTTGTTATTTGAAGTGAAGCTGCAATGAAGAACAAACGATTTTTTGACACAATTTCTGTTGAAATTGCAAAACTTTGTGGCTGCTGTCTGTCAGTGAAATGCATTTTTCTTTTAGAATTCTGAGGTTTGGAGAATGCAGCTCTGCATTGATTATTTTTATTCTGAGAGATAAGAACATAGGAGCAATAAAAGCTGACTGAAAATTAGCAAAAACATTTCTTTAGCAAGCAATAAGTACACTTTTTCCCGTGTAATTTCCTATTTCTCCCTTTAACTTGCTTTATTTTCCCACAAGTTTGTCCTTCCAGTTCTTCTCCCATCAATTCTTCTTGCTGCTGTCTTAGCTTGTCTATTTATTATTTCCAGGCCTAGTGAAATTCCTGAACTGGTTCAAAGATCCTGTTGACGTGGAGTAGAATATTTCTGCTTTGTAGTAGCATAGAGGCAGGCAACGTGAGCTGGGAAAAGATTGAGTGAGCATCTGGAAAAGATTTTGTTCTCAGCAAAAGCTATTGATTTTAATGCTCTTGGCACAGTTTTCAAGTGTTTGGGCATTTGGTGGGCTTGGCTGTTTAAATTTAGGTTATTAGCCATGGTGCAAGTTTGGAATATGTAGCTGAGAATTAGCTTGCTGTCAGATTCACACAAATTGCTATAAAAATGGTGCCACTACATCTACTTAAAAGAACAGCTAAAAGGTTCAAACGTATTTTTGCAGCTGAAATGGATTGTATGATTACCAGGCTGACATTGTTTTGGAAGAATTCTCAGACTTTTTTTAGTTTAGGAGTTTTTTTTTTTTCCCAAGTAAATGAAAGCACTCTCCATTGCATGGGGTTTCTTGACTTTATTTGCTTTTTTATTAGTTGCCGATTTGAAAACTTTATTGGTAGCAATTTAGTTTTGAAATGCCCTTTAATTCTTTAAACTCATATTTAAGGAAGGAGATAATTTTACAAATATAATGTCTCAGAATATGTGGCAATCAAGCTGTCTCCATTCTTCTATGGCAGTAGCCTTTTTAAAAAGGAAAGCAGTTTAGCCTGCCTACATCCTGCTGTTGAAGTTCTCCCACAATCAGCAATTGGGACAACCATCTGGAAAACTTTCTCTGTTTCTTACCTTTCTTTTAGTTGAGTTTACTCACTCTTAGAGTAAATCCAGTCCTAGAGCCAGTAAGGCTTTTCCCTTTTCCCTTTTCCCTTTTCCCTTTTCCCTTTTCCCTTTTCCCTTTTCCCTTTTCCCTTGCAGGGCTCTTACCTGTCTGCAGGTTGTCCATGTGTGCATGTGGCTTTGAGCTAAAACAGCAACACCAGAGAGAAAAGCAGCAGCAAAAAGCTGCTTTTGCTGGCCTCTTGTAACCAATTTGAGGGCAGATAAAGTCTTGTCTTGCACAACTTTGCCTATTTCCCATATCATCTTGGTGCCCTATGAGCATACTGAGCAACTAGCTGGCAAGACTGCATCCCTCTTGGATAATGAAATGTCTTGTCTCTCTCCTTCCTGTGACATTTTTGTTGAGATAGCTGTAATAAGGTGATCAGTGGGAGAAGACTTCTAATATAGTTGCTTTTTGGAGAACCAGTAAGTGTCAGAGCCTGGCCTGTGTATCAGATTTACCTGTTACTTTGAGAAAACTCTGCCTTGATGAGAAGTGAGTACTTTGCATAGAAGCCAGTAAAAAACCTGAATGAAGAAAGAATTCTGAAAAGCATGGGTGTATGCTGGAGGGAGAGTGTACTTCGGTACTGTTCATTCTTTCATGTGTATATTTTTCTTCCATTGCTGGGAGCTGAGTTGAATTTGCTTTAACTAATCAGCATTCCTTCCTCTATTTTGGTACTGATTTTAAAGCTGCTTCTTTATTATTTTGGTTTTCCTCTTCTCCCTCATCCCCTACTCAGAGGCCACTTAGTAATTTTATTTGAAAATAATTTATTTTTCCCCCCAATTTCTCATTTTCCTCCTCCTTCTGCTGGACTGCTGTTCACTGTATGTGTTTGAATATCTTTTGTAGTTCTGCCAAGAGTTCAGGATGCCTTTTTGTAGGGATTTAAAGTCTCACTGTTATCAGGCAAAAGGTGCAGCTGAGGCATTGGTACAGATACTCTGATGTGCTACCTGGTTGGAAGGCTGAGTCTTGGAGTGGTGGGGAGGCTGTGGGTAAGATGATCTGGGAGACTGAAGTCTTTGAGTGATGCCAGAAAATCAAACACTGCAAAGACTCAACTACATATTTGACATAATTGGCATGTATTTTGAATTTTTAGTGCTCTTTCTGATAGCAGAGTATTTCTGTGCAAAGCAAGAAATCCTGGAGCAGCTTCTTCCAAAGGGTGCTCTTAGTGCTGTCTTGGCTGACACTGCTGCTGCCCAGACCCACTGGCAAAAGTTTAGAGGTCTGGTAGGTTGTCAGGAGAGAAGAATGATATCTTTGACAGCTGCTGTCATGATGCTTCTGGAAACACTTGTTTTCTAAGCTGGCTCTCCTGCAGATGTCAGCAACCAGACATACAAATCCACTGGCTTGTTTGGAAACTTGCTATGCAGTTTCCAGTTGGCTTTTTGTAATGAAGCTTCAAGTTGTGAGTGCTTTCTCAACTTTGTCTTTTCCTTGCCTTTGCTTCCTGCTGCATGGGACCAGGTCTTGCCTTTTGCTTCTGTTTGAGATGGCAGATTTATATAGAGCAGATACAAAAATGACTCTGCCTTTAGTGTAGTGCTTGCTCAGGCTCCAGCTTTGTGCACTAACCGGCGGAACTTGAGCGCTTTGTGGCAGTTTTTTGGAAGTTACAAGGCAGTGAATACTCTTGGATTGTGCCAGTGAAAACTCCTGTTGGTCAGTGTTGGCAGCCTGCTCCCTGTTGTCTTGTCATTGCCCACAGTTCCTGCTGCCACTGTGTCTCCAGCCCCCCTCTCCCTCCTGTGACAAAAGTTTCTCCAAAAGAAAGAGGGGCAGAGCACATGGATGCCTTTCCCATTGTGACTGCCACCTATAGTTTTCCTTCTGCTTTGCCTTGTTACTATTAATGCTTTCTTGATGTGTATGCACATTTGTGTGCTTCTAAAGTATTAGGAGAGTGCTTACCTTAGGAGAAAATGTGAAGCTGCTAATTGCTAATGAAAGAGTATTTTAACAAGTCTGGCCACAGAATGCTTTTAAGAGTTTGCTGTGCTGGTAGGTTCTTATTATCTTGGAGTGACAGACAAGTTTCTGTGAAAGACTGGTTCAAAAATATGGCGTGTTATGTTTTCCAAATACCAGGTAGACAAGAAAGAAAGTCGTTTGGTGTGCATAAGAGTAATTTAAGTCAAAATTGCACTCCTTTCAGGCATATGGGAAGTGTCCTCTTGCAGAGTCAATGTCTCATAATTCATAAATATATGTTGGTAGCCTTTTCTTCTAGCATGAATCACTCTTAATAGGAATCTCATCTATTTATTACAGTACTCTGTAATTCTGGGCTTCTTCTTTCCTCTCAGCCTTAGTTACTTGGACAAGTCTGCCTTTGTGAGTTTCTAACTTGTATGGGTTCCTTCAGTGCTTGTAAGAAAATTGGTTATTGAGTTAAATCTCATAGTAATGCTTTAGAAGGGCAATTTTATAGAGAATCTTATTTATCTGAAGCTGTTGGAGGGCACTGCACACCATTTAGTTGAAGTAAAAGCTGCTATGCTTTTATGAAAGAAGTAGCAGCTAAAAAGTCCTATTTAAGTAGTTACAGTGGGAGATATTTTTTCAGAGTGCAGACTTCTGAGGAGTTTTGCATTCACTGAAAGGCAGAATAGCTTTTGTAGGTGTTCTGTGCTGGGGATCTTTTAGTACCTGTGCTCATGAGTGTTTTGGGCAGCTCGGTAAATCTGCAGAGAAAGTGAGGTTGCTTGACACAGCTGGCAATGTATTACTTGGCCAGGGAATGAGGCTTCTCCCATATTGTCTTCATGTTGTTACATGATATACTAAGGAAGTCCAAGAAGTATAAACTTTGAAAATTCTTAATCTAATTTTTTTGTTATGTGTGTTTACTATATACAAGTAGTAATTAAAATGCATAGAATTGAAGGAAAAATAAAACAACTGATTTCTCCTTTAATTTTAAGGCTACTGAAATTAAAAGTCTGGTTTTCCTTTTGGTACTAAAGGTCCAGACAGGTGTTTTTGCTTGATTGTTTCTGACACACCGTTTATGGAATAGCTGACATTCCCTGGCCGAAGAGCTTGTAATCTGAAATGGATACAAAATAAAGGGGTAAATGTAACATGCAAGAACTTTCAAGTATAGTGAATGCTAACCAAAAAGCACGTTACTCTTAAAAAAACACAGCAAAGCAACAAACACAAACAATAAAATCGACCACACAACAAGAACACCACTTCTGGCAAAGGGTGTGCTTGGCTGAGCTGCCTGAGAAAGGGACACTGAAGGAAAACTGTAAGGACATAAGAGAAAGGAGCGTGGGCTGTGAGGCAGAAGGGGAAAGGCTCAGTGCAGCACCACCAGCCAGGACAACTGGGGAAACATGTCCAGCCAGAAGGAATACTGAGGTCCCATCAGTGTGGCTGTGGCAGGCAGGCACTGTCTCCTGTCAGGTACTTGGAGCTCCTCTGGTGAAGGGCAGGACCTGGCTGTGGTCTGTAGGGGACAACCAGAGTGGTGCTGGGGCCAAGTCCTGTGCAGCAAACAGCTGCCCCATTTCTGTGCCCCTGTTCAGGCATGACCCTCCAGATCTGCACCTTCATTCCCTTCCCTCACTGCTGCTCCTGCCTGCCAGAAGCAGCTCCAGCAGCTGCTCTTGGCAGGGCTTCCTTCAAGGGCATCTGAGTTTAAGCATCTCTAGGTTGGGCTGGGTGGGGACAGCTCCTCTGTGCAATGCTGGGACTGGAGGAATGGTGTGGGGAGCGGGGGGAGCAGCCTGCAGAGCTCTGGCCTTGGCCAGCCCTAGACTGGGACAGGGTGGTTCTGCTGCAGCCCCTCTCACTCGTGTGCAGTTAGCAGGTGTTCATGTCTCCAGAAACTTTCCCATCTTAAGCAAGATTCAGCTGCCTTTCCCAGCCCACTGCAGGAGGAGTTCCTGTCAACCTTCTTGTTTGTTTTGTGTTTTTGCAGGTTGTGGGCTGCTCATTGCAGAAAGATACAGCTGAAAAAGGGTTAGCATCTTTCCATTCAATTTATGTCCTGAACTTTTAAGATTCTACTATTGCTTTTTTTTTGTTTTGGTTGTTTGTGGGGGGGCCTGGTTATTTGTTTTTTTTAATGTAAGGCCATTATGTATGTTCCGTGGGGAGCTAGAGATTTTAGGGGAATGAAAATTAAAAATGTAAACTCTTGCTTACATGTATTGTAGGGACAAAGGGTACTCTCTGGTTTACATAGCTGGAAGAGCTCTGTATAATTACATAAAAAGGAAAGGAGGCTGAGTTTGCTGTCTTTCCAGTATGGCTTCATTGAAGCACAGATAAAAATGGTATTAAGGATAAGAGCTGCAGTAAAAAGTGCCTTTTTTTTGGTTTTTTTTTGTAAGCCAGTTTAATTTAGAAATAGTTCTCTGAAAAGTTGTTAAGAATAGTTGGGACTTGTAGCAACATAAATAATTGATCTGTTTGTCTCTCTCATTTTTTGTTGCTGATTGCTAGCTTGAGCATTTTTATAAATTTACAAATTCATGCAAACCCAAAACAAGCTCAAGAGTATTAATAGAAAAAATAATTTATCTAGCATCAAATTCTCCTAGCTTCTGTATAGGTAAAGCTCTAGACTTGTCCCTGGTAGTTCCTTTCTTGCCTAGAAGACTTCAGCATTGTCTGTACTGGAAAATTGACTTGGGAAAGCACAGTGGTATAGTAATAATAATAATGATAATAATGGAATTACATTACCAGTGTTACCTGTTTGAAAGTTGACTGTTGTTCCACATTAAAAATTGCTTTCAGTATTTAAGCAAATTTACTTTGCTGAATAATATCAGTGCTATTCCAAAACATGTTCAGACAGGAAATGATACCATTGTTGTTTCATTTCTCAGTTTTCCACATAAACAGCTTTCAGCTCTGAATACTCAAAGCAGCTGAGCAGTGGCAGAATGAGGTGCACTAGGAAGGGATCTAATGGTGTAAAACACCTCACTAATGTTGCAGTTCTGGTTTTGTGTCTTTTGGGTTTTCAACCCCACTTGTTGTGGGTTTGGGTTTTTTGTTTATGTTTGGGCTTTCTTAGTTAAATGACTAAAAGGGAATTTCTGCTTTAGAGTGAGGGGAACTGTATGTTGTTTGTCTGCAACTTTCAACTTTACAAAATGTTGCTATTTTTATTCAGATGGGTCATCGAATCACGTTTACAACTATCAGCCATGTGATCACCCACGTCAGCCTTGTGATAGCTCATGCCCATGTGTAATTGCTCAAAACTTCTGTGAGAAGTTTTGTCAGTGCAGCTCAGAATGTAAGTAAAACATTTAAAAGTTATCCATAAACTTCTCTCACTGTCCACCACGAGCTCTGTCCTACCAGTCTGTCCGTGCTGCAGGCAGTTCCAGGAGCAGCAAATTGTGTCCAACAGTGTGAGCATGTTCAGTTCAATTTGGCCCTTGTAATTGGCCATTGCATGAAGTCAGAAGCAGCCTTCAGACCTAAAATTAAGGAAGAGTTATTAAAATCAGGGAAGGGAAGAATTTGCAGTACTCCTGAATGCAGATATCAGTGGCTGTGTTACCAATATTCTGATACACTATAATCTGCGCAGTCTTATTTTTACACTGTATATTTTCATATTTGCTGTTTTTCTTTTCCACACATTCCTTTGTAGGCCAAAATCGTTTTCCTGGGTGTCGTTGTAAAGCACAGTGCAACACCAAGCAGTGCCCCTGTTACCTGGCTGTCCGTGAGTGTGACCCTGACCTCTGCCTGACCTGTGGAGCAGCTGACCACTGGGACAGCAAAAATGTTTCTTGCAAGAACTGCAGCATTCAGAGAGGATCCAAAAAAGTACGTCCAGAGTTATACAACTGCAGGCCTGTTGCCTGGGTCTAGAGGTGTTCTTATATTTTCAAGCCAGAGAATGGAATTTCTTTGCCTTCATACTGTCAAACTGGAAAAGAAAAAAAAAAAAAAACAACAAACCAAACAGCAAGGAAAGGAGTTGTCACTTGTTAGCTTGCTCGTGTGCTGCTGTTAAGTCTATCTGCATTTTGTCATGTACCAATTAGTGTGTTCTGTGCAGGAGAGCAGCAGAATATCTCTTTTTCCCTGTTCAGGCTTTGCTTCTTAATTGCAAATAGGCTGCTGTTTTAAAGAGCTCAGCAGTCTTTCCCCAGATCAGCATAAAGAAGTTTATCCCAGAGTCTAGAAGCTATTTCTTTTTTCAGTTGTTGATTCAAAGGTATAAACTTGTATACAGTCTACTAAAGTCCTGAAAGCCCATTCAGTTCTGGCAAATAAATCAATAAGCCAAAGTTTATTTCTACTCTGGCATGTTTTCTCACAAAATAGTTGATTACTGAGCTATAATGAGTAGTGGGCTCCTGTCTGCAGACCTTTTGAGGTTGAAGTCTTTAGTAAATGAATTTTTATGTAATCCTGTCATTTCAAGATGTCTTGGGGTGGTTAAACTAAAATTTTTAGTAGTTTTCAAATACTTGGTCATTTTTCTTTTACATGCATCTTCTGATGCACAAGCTGTAACTCTAGTGTGTGTTGATCATTAGAAGACTCTGGATTTGTCTGCACTCGTGGAGTCCCAACATATACATTCCACTAAGTGATACAAAAAAAAAAATGGAAAATAGTCCTGAACTCAAATCTAAGCCAGGCATATCAAAACTTCTTGGTTTTTCTATTCCCCAGCACTTACTATTGGCACCTTCAGATGTGGCAGGCTGGGGAATTTTTATCAAAGATCCTGTACAGAAGAATGAATTCATCTCTGAATACTGTGGTGAGGTAAGGATGGAGAACACTGGATATGAGCTTAGTTGGTAAAGTTATGCACTGACAGGGACTGAGCATGGATGCCATTGTCTGTGACCGGGTACCTCGTTCAGACAGAGCCATGTGGCTGCCTCAGTGTCACAGGCTGTGACTGCTGTCACTCCCCAGACCCCAGGAGCTACACAATTGAAATGTCACAAAAATTTTGAAACAGTTTCTTGTGAGAAGGGGAGGCTGGAATGTCCTTTTTATCTCAGATGGAATTTCAGTTCAGACATGCTTGGAATTTGGTGGCAAATTATTTAGTATAGAACTGAAAGTCAGTAGGAGCTTTTGCTAAGCTGTATTCTGTAGCAATAAAGCCCCGAGTCCGGTATGCAGCCCTGACTTTGAGAGGAGAAGCAATTCTTGCTTTTCTTCTGCTCTGAAAGAGTTTATGTATGCTAAAAGCAAAGCATGGATGTTTGCTAAGTGCAAAGTGCTTCCTGAAAACAACACTTTGTTTGGAAATACTTTGAATCCCAGAGAATAAAAAAACTCCCACCTGTCTTTCAGAAGGCTGGGGAGGGGTTGACATTAAGCTGCTGTGGTTACACAATGGAGGAGTGCTTCTCTCTTTTACAAGTGGTCTTTCTTTCAGATTATCTCTCAGGATGAGGCAGACAGAAGAGGAAAAGTGTACGACAAATACATGTGCAGCTTTCTGTTTAACTTGAATAATGGTATGTATGCATCAGTTGCAACCCTTGGCAGCATAAGTAAAGTATGTATGCTTAGCATTTTGTTCAGCCCTGTTCTTCTGCAGACAGCAGGTAACAATGAGAACTTATTTCCACACATCTTTCTCTATCAGTGTGTGGATTCATCCTGCTGATAGCTAGTCTTTGGGATTTTTTCCTCTAAATGCTAGTCAGCTAGATGTAGTGATGAGCCTATTGTACAAGAGGAGTAGAACTTCACGGAGTAAAATTATATATAGACATTAAGTAGACTTAAGAATGTAAAAAGTGTTGTCTGAAGTAATTTTACTGAATTAAATAATCAGTAATTTATGATGGTAATTGTGTTGGGGGAGAAAAGCCACAGTGGTATGATGTAACTACTGCCACTTGAAAAATACAGACTGCACTGTGTCAAGCATAAAATACTGGAAAATAGTTGAAATGGGGAAAAAACCTGCTGCTTTATGTCAGTGCTGACTTAGCATATTTATGGAGCTTGTCCTTGTGGAATAAAGGTAGAGAAGCTTCAGTGAGGAGCTCAGGTGGTGCCACTGTGGCAGGAGGTAAAGGAAAAGCACCGTGTGGAACAGCAGAGTTCAGCTGTTGTAGGGTGGTGGGCCAGCTCTTCCATGGGGAAGATGTTCAGTTATCTTCTCCAGCTGCAAAGATCCAAGCACACTAGGTAATAAACTCAAAAATGTGTTTGTAGGTGACCCATCCAACATTTGTGGGGTTTGTTGTTTTTTTCTGCCCCCTAGATTTTGTGGTTGATGCAACACGCAAGGGCAACAAAATTAGATTTGCAAACCATTCAGTAAATCCCAACTGCTATGCAAAAGGTAAGTTTCACATTTACTTGCTTTTCATCAATGTATGAAATACTGTGAGATATTTCTTTAACATGCATTTTATCAGTATTTGTACTAACATAGCTAATTTCTTTTAAAACAGTTATGATGGTTAATGGTGATCACAGAATAGGAATATTTGCTAAAAGAGCCATTCAGACTGGTGAAGAACTGTTCTTTGACTACAGGTGGGTAGATGGATTTCAGGTGGGATTAGCTTCCAGTATCTGTGCAGCTCAGAGTTAATGCCTGTGCCTGCCTGGCCCCTGCAGCCTCAGGTCTCAGCAGCTGAGAAGCAGCACTCCCCACACTGCTTTTGTTAAGCCAGATGCCATAGCAAGACTGATTTGAGCAATGCAGCTGGTTAAGAGCCTGCAAACTTGGAAAAGCAGTTCTCATAGAGCAAAGTGTAGTGACAAATGGGGACAGACTTTCTCTGGTTGGGTTACCTTGGTAGCAGTACAAGTTAACTCCCCCATCATTCAGAAATAGGCAAGAATTTCAGAGAATGAAATTTCAGAATTCCTACAGACAAATGCTTGCTAAGAATGTGTCCCCCTACAATCATCTTACTTGGCAAAAAGTAAGCTGTCCACTGGCAATACTGTGTAGGTCAGCCTGGAGAAATGCGGTTGCTTTCCAGTACTGAAAATGAACTTCAGGACTGTGAGAGCCAAGGTGAAAAAGTATGGAATTTTAGTGATTTCTCCTCTTGATCAAACACCTCTGAAAGTAGTTTCTTGTGGGTCAGCAGCATTATGCACCTGCAAATTCACACAAAGAGGAAACACCCCAGCTGGTGAGGAGATAATGGGAAATCTAAGGATAAGAGTATTCCAGGCTGTGGTGCCATTCTGTCAGAATAATGAAGCTGAAATGTTCCATGATACTGGCTTTTTGTGATTTTTTTTTTTTTATTTTATTTTTTTTATTTCAGATATAGCCAAGCTGATGCCCTTAAGTATGTGGGCATTGAAAGAGAAATGGAAATCCCTTGACACCAGCTACCTCTTCTTTTAAACAAACAGCTGCCTTATCTTCAGGAATTTCTAGTACTGTGGGCAATTTTAGAAAAATACAAATGATGCAATTTGAAATTCTGTATTTGCAAAGTACTGTAACAGTAATTTATAGTAACGATTTTAAAGAAAACAACTTTTTATTGCCTTCTCACCAGCTGCAAAGTGTTTTGTACCTAGGAACTTTTGCAATAATGTGGTGTGGTACATTTTTCAACCTTGAATAAAGGATACTTGAACTTCTTCATTTTTACTGGCATTGAGTTGGAATTTTGTGTCAGCCCCTTGAGAAAGCAATGTGAATTTAACCTGTAACTTCTGTGCAAAGGCAGCTCCATATTTGTCTCCTTCTGTTACTCTGGGTCAGGTTTAAGATCAGTGTGAAGATGGAAACAGTGTAGATGGCAGTCAGGTGATGGGTGCTGCAGTGCCTAAGTGAGACAGGGGTGGTCTTGCAGTTTCTCAGCTTCTCTTGGATGCAGCTACATCCAAGTTGTCTGGAGTAATGGCTGCAGCCCAGAAACTCCTGCAAGTGCCAGAGTAGCTGTGATTTCTGTGACAAACACTACTTTCAAGACAAAGCTGTGGTACAAGGTGCCCTCACTGTGGCTTCTCTGAAGCACCAAACTGAATGATAAATACAACAGTAACTACACCTGTGTTAAAAAGTTAAGAGATGCAGAAGAGAAATGCATAGTTTTCATCCAGAAACATTTACACTGCAGTTAGATTGTACAGGGCTACCACATTTATTTCTTACTTGCTAGTGGATGTGAACTCTGCAGCCTTTTGTGAAGTAGAACACAATGCTCTGGTCAAACCAGTTGGAGTGGGAGGGCAGGCACAGGGTGGCATTATTGTCACACTGAGTCCATGAAATCCTGTCCATGGTGACCAGTTATCTGCTGCACTGAGGGGGATCCAAGCTGAGTTCATCTCTTCTGCTTTCACACTCCATGTACAGCAGGCAGCTACCACATGCCCTCCACCTTGGTGGTGGCCCAAGTAAGAACTAAGAGTTCATGAGGAAAAGAACAGTCCAAAAGTATAAGCCTGCTTTTCTCCCTCCTCAGGTCAAGCACAGCTCCTGGTCTGAAGGATGCACAGTACACAAAGCACTGCTTTAACCAGCCAAGGGCTTTGAAAGGCAGCTCAGAGCAGGTGATTTCTGGCCTTCCAACTAAGAAAGGAGTTCAGGTTGCCTCTTTGTCATCATAGCACACACATCCTGCTAAAGAAATCTTATTAGCCCTGAACTTTCTGCAAGAAGGGGTTTACAAAAACAAAACAGCACCTTAGGAAAAGAAAAAATTAAGAGGCATCACTAGTTCCATTCTTCTAAATTTCCAAAAGAATTTTGAGCAGCAAGATGCTTCTATTGCCCCTAATGGCAATCTTTAGCTCTTTCAGAACAGAAATAGCAAGCATACAAAATGATGACACCCCTCTCTTCTAGCACTGCTCAGATTTTTTTTTTAACCCAGAGTTCAACTGTAACCATTTCCCTCAAGAGAGAAACATTAGCAACACAAAGCCTGGCTCCTTTCCTGTGAGAGGAAACACTGAACAAAATCACAGTTTGCATAAAGGGTAAAATGACTACAGAAGTTCTTTTCATGATCAAGATTAGAAAATATAGATTACCAATAGTGAGAGCTGTGACGATGGCAGCATTGTGCTTGTAGCATATGAACGCCAATACTCATTTCATAAAATGTTGTGAGAAGAATGGAATGAGGCCTGGTCAATCAAGGTATGTCTAGTAACACTTTAAAGTATTTTAATTCCCATCAAAGGTTGCATTTAATGGGATTTGTTCTTCAAGAACACACTCAATTTTCTGTTCCAGTCAAAGAAATGGGCAGCCTAAACCTCCTTTGTTCTAGGCAGCATTTATGCAAGGGTGATGCACTTTATAGCACAATGAGCAATATTAAAACCAGCTCCAAGTTCAGATGACCAAGCATTGCCACATATATTTTGAGCATTTTTCTGTTCTGCATATCTTGTGAAATCACCACAAATTTCTTTTATTTTCAAAGTGCAGACATTTCCTCTTCAAAAAGAAGTAACATGCACAGATAATGATAGGTGACAGTATCTTTAAGAACACTTTGTTCTCTGAAGCACCAGAAAATGGGGAGGAAAAGCAAAACGAATTTCTAATAGCTTTCATAACCATTATACCTTTTATTTACATTTAGAAAGATAAGTCATGAAACTTAAAACAATAAAACCAAATGCAACTTGTACAGAAATCTTTTAATTTTTTTTTATTATTTATCACACATTAAAAAATGAAACACACTATACAAATGGTTTTTCATAGCAGATTACACATGGGTCCATTCAGACTCGCTCTCCAAGTGCTGCCAACATGTATAAGTGCTGCCTGTGATGGCAGCTGTTTATCATATAGCCAATGTATTGATTTAAATGCAGTAGCATGCAACCCTTAAATGAGAAGGGTCTGATTCCTTTCTGTTCTTAAATTAGGTTAAATGGCATTGGTGTCCATATTTACATACTTGAAATGTATCAATCCTGAGCAGTTCTGATGTAAATCTGAGACTGGCTGATGGAGTCCTGGTCTCAGTCATTAAAAAGGGAGGTCCAAATGGCAGCAGGGTGGCTGCTATGAAGTTCTGTTGCTTTCATTCTTTCCATCACATACCTACTTGCCGAGTGTCACACAGTCAGGTCATTGCTAATAAAAATGCTAAGCCAAGTAACTGTAGGTGTCCTTCTCACCATCCACACGTTCCAAGTATTCCTTCTCAATGAGGATGTCGATGCATTTCTGTGGGAGAACAGAACAGAGGTAAGCTGTGGGACATGGGCATAAAAGCCCCCTCTGGGGTTGCTCCAAACTTTGATTTTGACCCCCCAAGGGAGTTCCCTGGCAAACAGAGGATGGGAATAGGCAAAGGACACAAACCACAGCAGTTCACTCTCCTCTTTCTGACCACATCCAAGCAGAAGGCTTTGCTAATCCACTAAACTGAACTGCACTTACTGGATGCCATTCCAGGGGTGTGACTGGGAGATCATCAGTATGCTGAACAACTTCATAGTAAGACAGCAAATAAAAAATTACACCAAGATGCAGAGAGCTTATGTAAGGTATGAAAGAGCAGCAGCAAGGAGGGGCTCTCTGTGTAACTGCCCTGGTGCCAGTTTATGCAACTGCTGTCACTGCCTGTCCTTTGCCTCACCTACCCCTTAGCTGTGGATATAACAACTGCTGGTGAGCTCACTTAAACAAACTGATGAAGAAATTAATATACATAAATGAATAATTAATATAATCAATATAATTATGAGTAAATAATTAAATACAATGGCCCCTTCCCCAGTGTTTTTACTGTAAAGGAAAGCAGGAAACTTTTATTGAGCTAACCCCAAGGCTGACTGTTGTCCCACAAGTGGGAGAGCAGGAACAAAAGGTAAGCCTGGATCAAGGGCTATGGCAAGCTGCCACTGATGTAAAAAGACGCAATCTAGCTACTATTTTACCACCACTGTCAACAATGTGAAACACGGATAGTACCCCGAGAGAAATGCAATATTTCTGGTTAAAATATTTCCTACTTGCAACTCAAATCTGTCCTTGCCCCTCCCATCTCCTTAGCTTTCCTTTTTAATTCAGAAGCATGTGTTTTGTCTGTGTATATACTCCTCACCTCCTGGAATCCAGGTTCAGAGATGTGGGTCTCACATACCTTAATTACAGGAACTCGTGGCTTGAACCTTGAGGACAGCTGTGTTAGCACTTCTCCAAGCAGTTGCTGGTGTTTTAGAACCTTCCTCATTTTCATGATTCTCACAATAGCAGCCTGTGCAGCAAAGTTGGGAAGGTGTGTTTAGGAGCAAAGTACTTGTCCCTCTGTGTAGAGCCATTTAACTCCTCTAGATCATGTCTGCCCCTGCAGAAGCACCACCACCACCAACTCGAGCACCAGACAAGGAGAAGCTTGCCCATGAGTGTCAGCTACTCACACAGACTTCAAGAACTCAAAGTCTCCACAGCACACAGTCATCAAAAGTGGTTTTGACACATGAATTTTTAGAACTGTGCTTACAGTCAGTCAGTCATAATAATAATAGCACCAACTGGTAACAAGAGCCACACAAAACTGCTTGTGTAGCAAAAAGCCTTCTTTATATATTTAACCTTACTGTGACACTGTCTTAGTGGTACATCTCTATTTCCTTCCCCTGCCTCTCAAGTGGATTCCAAATGAGCTGATATAAAACCACTGCTGATTTCCTACTACCTGGGTATTGCTATTTTTTTATTATTCAGTTTTCACCCAGGACAAGGTCTGGTGAATGTGTATCCAAGGAACCCCAAACACTCATCAACATCAGGTTAGAACAATGTGAATGAACACATCCTGTCTGTAGAAGTGCCTTCCTCCAGTTTTTACTACAGATCCAAATCGCCTTTAAGAATATTTTAAATACATTTTTTCAACTCTAATGTAGTTAGAGCAATGTAGTTGTCTTCTATAAAAGTTAGGAAAACCCTACAGTAAGCTTCATTAAATGATTACACAGATGTGATTCTGAGTTCATGACAGCATTCTGCAATAAAACTCACCTGAATCAGTAGTTTCCTGTCTTCCTCTATATTTTTGTGTGTAGTTTCTTGCTCCTGCTTCTGTTCAGTCTTCATTGGCACATTGATGTTTACCCTTAATTTTTTGCTGTAAAGAAAAGCAGAAGTTAATGAACAATTAGACTGTTTAAAAACCTAAGAAACACAGAAAAAACTCCAAACAAAACCCAACTCCAGAATAAAAGCCACAGCATTATTAATTACTTTACAACAATACAGGACTTTAGCTCTTCTGAAAACTTTAGACGCTCTTCTTCAAGATAAAAAACTTAAAGTAAAAATAGTCACAACCAACCAATGAAACAAAATACCTTTCTGGTGGGTCCCTGTGTATCTCACAGCTTAGTGAGATGCTTAGTCCACCCTAGTGATCTGTGTAACTAGCACTGTACAGTTACGCTGTATTCAAAATATTTCTGTGTGTAGTAAGAAGTGTGGAGTCAGTGAAAGGGCAAAGGAAGTCAACGGGAACAGAATCACCTTTCTGATTTACAGACTGGATTCTGACCATAATGTGGAGAAATCTGTTTGTTCTGTGGAACTGGGCTCTGCCTTTCTTTCAGACTCCCTGGCACTGAGAGCTGTGCTGAGGTGAGCCCACTGCCACATGTGGCCACTCAAGACAAGGTCCT